ATCCTTTTTATCGAAGAAATCATCGGTACATCTGATGAATGGTTTGGAATTATTCAAAATTTGCCTATTCTCACTTCTAATTTGGAAATTAGATCGGTTCACCATGATTAGGTGAACAGATGAATTGACCAGTATCGCTGTTATATACCTATATTAAATGAGGTGGATGAATTCAAAGAAGGACTTGAAAATGCCTACATAATATCTTACAATCCTTGATGGCGAAATACTAGTCCTGCTCTTATTTATTTGTCCTTTCAAGTTTTGGTGGAGGCACTAAATTTTTTTCCTCAATAACTCGAATCGATTTTTCTGAGTAGTTCAATGAAATAAACGAATTGAATTTCATATCCATCAATCTATCAGCACAGAAATCATTAACTCCCAATAATATTTTGACTTATCACTTTTCATTTTGATTTTTTATATTTACTTATAGTAAGCATATGTAGCATATTCAATTGTTGTAATGGACCATCTTCATGTGAAATGTGAAATGAGTATATCAAATATTAGTGAAACATATATGATAATTTTTTATCTTATTGTGTATTTATAAGGTATTACAGTCTGATGATGGCCGTTGTGCCAAAACTGGTTACTTTTTAATTGACTAATTTTTACATAACGTGTGGTTGACTGACTTTGAGTATTTATTTTCATTGTATATTAGTGTCACAACTATTCTTCTTCTTGCCAAGATAAAATTGTGAATTGTTCAATGTACGAAATTATTTCTTCAAAAATTATGTTTCATGTTGTTGGAATGCATTAGTTTCTTGTAGTGAAAGGAAAGACAGTTCTCAAGATGACATATCATCGAAAATGAACGACAAAGCTTTGAAATTCTTTGCCAATGTGAGTATTCTCGAGAGTTTCTAAACTCCGAAAGTTCGAAAAATCCAACACCTACCTACCTCCTCTTCCTAACCTCCCTATAGGTACATGATATTCTTCGAACATTATAAGAATTTTCTTCTGTGAGCTCCAAGATATAGAAAAAAATTTAGTACAGCTTTTTCAGTTTTTTTCATGCTTTATCAAAACACAATATTCAGATATGAGTTTTTCCTGAGCTCAATATTATAATTTCACCATAGTCTAAATATAGTTATTAACTCGAAAATTCAATAATCAAACGTTAATCATTATGAATTAGATGATAAATATTTTATAATGATTTTATTTATCAATAGCCTACACAATGAGATGAATGGAAATTTATTCCTCAATGGATTGAAATAATTGATTACTGAATATAATCATTTCCGAAATAAATAATTTGTTACTATGTAAATAGTTTGTATTGATTATCACACATCCTGTCAAAGGTCGACAAATTATCTGATTTTTTCGAAAATTTTTATGATCCAGCTGTTGACCTTTCAGAAATTTTCTCACACGTGAGCTATTTTATCAATAATGAGAATGAATCGATGTGACGTCATATTTTAATGTAATAAGTTGAGAACTACAATGGAACTTTTTTTCTAAATCGAATAATTTTTGAAGTTGTTAAAAATTAATTGGAGTTTTAAAAATCTCTACTATTCGTATAACCCGGCTGTTGAGGCATGAAAAATATTACAGAACTGATGACGAGGTAACCAAATATTTATTTTTTTATCACTATATATTTGAAAACTCCATCTTTATAAATTGTGGACTCTGTAGAAATATATCATATTTAAAATTAGTTCATTTTCCAGTTATGCAAATATCAGAAAACAGATTCTCAATTTCAATTTGAAGGCGATAAAAAAATATATGTTTATTTCATTTTCAAACTGTTTAGTTTTGTGGAACCAATTATCACTTTCAAATGATCAAATGCAACACCCTGTATATGTAGGTTTACGAAGGCGCTGAAGGGCCACCTATACTTTTTTTTTTCGAATCCCGACTTTAAAGTCGGACCCCCGACTTTAAAGTCGGGGGTCCGAGATTAAAGTCGGGGGTCCGACTTTAAAGTCGGGGGTCCGAGATTAAAGTCGGGGGTCCGACTTTAAAGTCGGGGGTCCGAGATTAAAGTCGGGGGTCCGACTTTAAAGTCGGGGGTCCGACTTTAAAGTCGGGGGTCCGAGATTAAAGTCGGGGGTCCGAGATTAAAGTCGGGGGTCCGACTTTAAAGTCGGGGGTCCGAGATTAAAGTCGGGGGTCCGAGATTAAAGTCGGGGGTCCGACTTTAAAGTCGGGGGTCCGAGATTAAAGTCGGGGGTCCGACTTTAAAGTCGGGGGTCCGAGATTAAAGTCGGGGGTCCGAGATTAAAGTCGGGGGTCCGACTTTAAAGTCGGGGGTCCGAGATTAAAGTCGGGGGTCCGACTTTAAAGTCGGGGGTCCGAGATTAAAGTCGGGGGTCCGAGATTAAAGTCGGGGGTCCGACTTTAAAGTCGGGGGTCCGAGATTAAAGTCGGGGGTCCGAGATTAAAGTCGGGGGTCCGACTTTAAAGTCGGGGGTCCGAGATTAAAGTCGGGGGTCCGACTTTAAAGTCGGGGGTCCGAGATTAAAGTCGGGGGTCCGAGATTAAAGTCGGGGGTCCGACTTTAAAGTCGGGGGTCCGAGATTAAAGTCGGGGGTCCGACTTTAAAGTCGGGGGTCCGAGATTAAAGTCGGGGGTCCGAGATTAAAGTCGGGAGTTCGGAACTGAAGTTAGGAGCTAGTTTATATTCGTTAAATATATGGACAGAAATAAATAATTTCCATTGTTACTCATCAGTTTGACGTCAGCAACATGCTCCTGAATTTTCTACATGTACTCGAGAAACACCCTGTACATTTATGTACAAACAATAATTTTACATCCATTGGATAATCATCACATAAGGATCAGTCAAAATCCTCCTTTTTGGATGTACACTGAATGTCAAATATTGGATCACACCTGTACGATCATTATCGTACGTATAGGGTGATTGTTTATATTCCACTTAATAGCTGAGAATCTCATTTGTTTGTTCAAGGGTGCAAAAAGATTACAATACAAAACATATATTTTCACAAATGAACTACCCTGAATGTCATTCCGTCCTTGGGTAGAGCTCAGAAAGATGAGTTCAATGATATATGATTACATTTGTAGGTATGAGTTAACCCTTCCGGACTATTTGCATAATCTTCTTCAATGATTAGCCAAATTTCAAAGCCTTATGGAAACGTTTCTAATAGAAGTGGCAACACTGTATCGATGAACATATTTTAAACGGATAGAGAATGTTCAATTATCAAAGGATCCCAATTTTCAGAATGTTCTGTCTTTTCGTTCTCCAGATTACTTCTAATAGGCCATCCACCGTGGATCACCCTGTATATGTTAAATTGATATTTTGTCGATATTAAGGATATTCGAATTAAACAAAAGTGACCCCCGACTTTAAAGTCGGACCCCCGACTTTAATCTCGGACCCCCGACTTTAAAGTCGGACCCCCGACTTTAATCTCGGACCCCCGACTTTAAAGTCGGACCCCCGACTTTAATCTCGGACCCCCGACTTTAAAGTCGGACCCCCGACTTTAATCTCGGACCCCCGACTTTAAAGTCGGACCCCCGACTTTAATCTCGGACCCCCGACTTTAAAGTCGGACCCCCGACTTTAATCTCGGACCCCCGACTTTAAAGTCGGACCCCCGACTTTAATCTCGGACCCCCGACTTTAATCTCGGACCCCCGACTTTAAAGTCGGACTCCCGACTTTAATCTCGGACCCCCGACTTTAAAGTCGGACCCCCGACTTTAATCTCGGACCCCCGACTTTAAAGTCGGACCCCCGACTTCAATCTCGGACCCCCGACTTTAAAGTCGGACCCCCGACTTTAATCTCGGACCCCCGACTTTAAAGTCGGACCCCCGACTTTAATCTCGGACTCCCGACTTTAAAGTCGGACCCCCGACTTTAATCTCGGACCCCCGACTTTAATCTCGGACCCCCGACTTTAAAGTCGGACTCCCGACTTTAATCTCGGACCCCCGACTTTAAAGTCGGACCCCCGACTTTAATCTCGGACCCCCGACTTTAAAGTCGGGATTCGAAAAAAAAAAGTATAGGTGGCCCTTCAGCGCCTTCGTATAGGTTGGTACAAAAATCTCAAAAAATTCTGGGAAACCATTGAATATACCTCGAGGGTAACACTGAAATAAATAGTTATAATACAAACCCAAAGATGGCCCAAGCTATACCAAGAAACATAGAAACAAATATATGTACAGGGTGTCCGGTAAACCATCGATCACACTCTAGCTGGTGATAAACAAGTTCATAACCTATCTGAAAACTTGATCCTATTAAAAACCCTACGGTTTTCAAGAAATTGAAACTTTCATAAAAAAAATTAATTCCTATGTCAGATGATTCTTTCATATATATGTTCCTAGCAAATAAGGATGGTTTCATGTTAATTCTCATGTTCGATAAATATTTCCTACTGAATAATAGTTGTAACAATAACATTAAGAAGGCAGATTTCTAATAGCAGTCGTTTAGGGTGTTTTTTTTTTCTGTTCAATTTTCAAGTTAACATTTCTCCTTAATTAGAAGACTTGAGAAAAATCTAATATTTTCGGAATATTCATTAGTCAGATTCAGTATAATATGAACTCGTTTCAAAATCATATGTATTTTTTCGATATATAGGTGTATAAAGTGAAATGTTCATATCACTCTAAAATGAATGAAAACACACTGTATGAAAACATGGTAGGTACTTACCTGAGTCTATTCACCACAAAATCCAATGAATTAATAATCCAATCATTCTGTTTTCTATTTTTTTTTTCAATTATGAAGTAGGTAAACATACTTTTGAAAAATATTATTAAATATACCACAGGATTGTGATATAATCAAGTTGTTATGAAATAATAAATGTTTAGTTTTTATCTACTGTATTCAGAATAATAATTGTTATTTCACCTGAAATTATTATTCTATATGGATTTCATGATTTGAATTTTGCTTTTAGCAAGTCAACCTGATTGTGAAATATGTCAATAAAAAATGAAACAAATTTTCTAAAACAGTTGAATTTACTTACGTCACTAGGTAATTTTATTTACAATAACGTAACATATTTTATATCATATGAAACACAACCTTCCAGGCCCAAAAACTGCCTGGCTCATATAAAAATAGATTATAAAAATAAGAAACCAACCAAATCGCAAAAAGATATGCCATTCACTTCGATCGATCAAACAACAAATTAAAAACGAATAAAAAATCCGTCGCAAAACCAAACAGAAATCGGATTGTGCAAAAATCACTCAGGCGAGTCCATGTCACTGTTCACGGTATACCACAAAGTTCAGTTCGTATACCGCGGGGTCGAAAATCACGGAACTCTTCGACCCGGAAAATGATGTCATAGGTAGAACTCCGGCGAACTCTGCCCTCCGTCGGAGGTGAGGCTACCGTTCATATTGGAATTCAAATGCTGCTGCCTTCCCAGCTGCAGCCTCTGCTTCAGAATATCCCTCTCTTCGCTCACCCTCAACAGCTCCGACTTCAACCGGTGCAGCTCGTGCTGCAAGCTCCTGTTGGTCGTCTCCAGGTCCTGCCGCTGCTGCAGCCTCTTCGACCTGCAGTTCTGCGCGTAGCCCCTGTTCTTCAGCGTCCTCCTCTTCTGCTTCAGCCTCACGATCTCCTCCCTTGGGCACCCGTGCAGCCTCTTGTTCAGCTCCCGCACGGACAAGGACATCAGCATATCGTCGTTGAGGCCCGTGTCTTCGGAGCAGGTGGAGTAGCCGCTGTGGTGCAGCCTCGGCGATAGGGCACTAGCCCCGGAGCACACCGACTGCGACCGCTGGTGATGGATACCGTGGTGCCCTTGGGCGTCCATGATCATGCCCGAGGGGATGTATTCCCTGCGCTCCCACTCGGGATCGCCGCCCATGCAGTGCAGGGGGCGCAGGTCCAGCGGCTGGGGCTCCCTCATGCTCTGCGGGAACCACATCATCTCGTCCATGAGGCCGGGCGGTCGACAGGGTAGGGGCGAGTGATTGGGCGGAGTGTCAGGCGGGGTGCCCGGATCGTTCAGCAAGGCCATGTTCACCAGGACCGGCTGTTGCTGCACGTAGATGGGCTGGCGGTCCTCCCACTGGCCGCTGCACATCCTGCTGGACTCCTCATCCTCCTGGGGCAGCCAGGTGGTGTCCGCGTCGATCATGTGGCGTTTTTCTTCTCGCTTCACCGTCACGTCCAGGTGGTCCAGCACGAAGTCCTTCACGTACTCGTCGGCCAAGTGTGTGTTGTCCTCCATCGGCACTTGTAGTTATTGGTGTCACGTGACGCGCTATCAGTAGTCATAGGCACTGCACTGCACTGTGTGGCGGCGGCGTGACATGTGTCAGCTCGGGCGGTCGGGAACGGTTTGTGGCGAACGGATCTGGAGTCTGGAGCACTCGGCTGGATTGTTGTGGGCGGTGCCTGATGGGTCGCCGCCCCAACTGGCTGGATAGGTGGCGATCGGATAGCACCGGAAATTTGTTTATACCTCGACGGCCAGTCAACACTAAGAATATTCGTGGCATATTGTTGTAAAAGGGGGGTATATTGCGGACATGTTATGTGTGCGGGGGTCTCGAGTTGAAGGTATGAGATTTTGAGTTTGCTGGTTTTATTGAAATTGCGCGATCGTTGAGATGTTGGATGTATGGGGGGATGTGGGCATATCTATGTAGTTTATCGGGTTGGATTTATATGGTTTGTGATGCGTTTGATTTATGAAGGTTCTGGCGGAGGGGCCGGTTTGATATTCATTTTGGTGGATGCATTTTCTGGAATTGTTTTTAGACAATTGGTATTCTTGCGATCGTGAGCAGTTATAATTCATGAGTACCGGGATTTTTATTGCCATAGTTCATTCTTTAATATACAATGTGATTCCAACCCACAACATCCTCCTTATTTGGTACTCGACAAAAACAAAAATTCGATAATATAGTACTCAACGAGGTCTATTCGAACGTATCTGAAATATTCAGGTTTTCAAGGCCTACTTTTGTTTGTTGAAGGGGTCAAAATTCCATAAACGACTATTAGGATGTCTCTAAGGAAAATAAAAATCAAAAACTCAGGTAAACCGTTTTTCACATCCTATATAGGTTATTTCAGGGCATCGTTCCAGATAGGGTAGAAAGAAACAAAGACAAGGAGAAATTTGTGTAAAAACAAGATAACTTTTTGTGTAAAAAGGGAACCAACCAGTTATAGAAGCTAGTGAATTCACGAAATCTCATCATTTCGCTAGTACCTATACAGGAATAGGCAGATTCTGAAATATTCATTAGAATAAAAGCTTCATGAAGGACATCAAACTTTCGAAGCTACTAATCTTTCTGTGCAAACAAATTATTATAATTCAATCTTGTTTCATCAATATATCGATGCTCACAAAATATTTCTTGTTGCCAAGTGAGATAAACATTTGATAAGATGATGACGTTTTGTCTAACATCATGCATTACTTATCTCATCAAATACTATTAGATCTTTGGAAATTTCAAGTTTCAGAGAGTGTGTATATCATAAAAGAGATCAGAATGATGTTTTTCACTTATTGAATATATGGAAGTTCATTGAAGTCTTCTATACAAATTCAATTATATCTCTTGTAATCATACCCTGTCAGAATGGTTTTAATTGATACGTGTTTTTCTACTCAATATTTGAATTCTCAATAATCAATTTCCGACCCTTTTCAATTGATACCTTGAATGATATGTTTATATTATCTCTTGAAGCGCAAGAAAGAAAATTGCTATGATTTTATGGTCATTTTCGTAGAGTACGTCAAAAATATACCGACTCAGATACCAGAGGTATCATCGAGTATTTAGCTTTTGGGGAATTTCAATGTTATCACATCACATTTTCACGGATTGGAATCCTCAATATTCAATATTTCGTACCCTTCCTGTTGTTTTTCCTGATCATATATAGGAAACAAATATCATTTGATGTTGATCATAAACGAGAATGGCACTTATTACCTTGTAGTGAACATCAGTTCAACTTTTATATTCTTCGGGATGAAGTAGCACATTTTCAGGCATCAGGGTGTCAAAATTTCAGATTTTTTAAGGGTATGTTTTCTCCTATACAATTTTCAAAATAATTGATTGAAATTAATTAATTGATTAACCTACAGACAGTATTTGAAATTTGTTACACCAATTGAACTAGAGGAACTCAATATTCAGAGCCATCAAGCGATTCAGAGATTACCTACAGGGTGATAATACTTTTAGGGGTTGTTCTCAATTTAACCCTCTTATATTTTTTTGTGTGCTGTCTCTTCTTCAATGAGACTTAATTCAGATTCTCTCTCTTACTCGAATACTTTCTGCTCTTGTGCCAATATAGTATATATTGTTCAACGAGCACGGAATGATAGTCATATCCCACGAGAATTAAGTTTGCAGCTTGAGCCGTAGGCCCATTGAGAAACGAAAAAATTCCATCGGTGGGTAGAGCTCATCAAGGTGACTCTGAATATATCATATTTGTAGGGTCTTACGAGTTTTATATCGGAGATACAGGGTGTTTCATCAATTTTGTTCAAATCTTTGTGACCGCATAACGAACCACCCAGTATATTCTGTTGGAATTTGATATACAGCTCCTTTTTCTTCTACCCAAGTGAATCACCTATCAGTCACGAGGAAAATCCAGGTCTGAATTAACGAAAATTGTTCATATTTCTGGACACCTAAAGGAACGCCCTGTATTTTCCAATTTCCAAAATCCGCTCACATATTTGGAAAGTGCAGATTTTTTTATTGTATCCCACTGTCGAAGATATCTTCATGAGATTATCATCTTGAAAAACATTTTTTTTAAGAATGGGTTAGAAAACACAAAATCGTTTGATAATCGAGAGATTATTTAGGGAACATGTTTCGAACAGTCATGTGTCCATCATCAGCCTTAATCCTTACAACCCACGACCTTTGTTTTGTAAGGATTGAGGCTGATGATGGACAAATGACTGTCCGAAACATGTTTCCTAAATAATCTTTCGATTATTAAACGTTGTGGAGATGATTTTGTATTTTCTAACCCTTTCATCACTACACTTCACTTAGAGAAAAGTATGGACTTCTACATAAGATTTTCTTTAAGCTTTTCTTGCTACAAAAGACTCGCTCACCTTTTTTTCATGTTCTGGTTCCCACGAAAAGGGATATCCTGTAATGTTCAGAGAACATCGTGAGAACCAAGGGAAATAAGGTAGGAATCGGTGTTCTTCTTGAATTTCTGGAGGTTATATACCTCGGGGAACACCTCCCTTGGCAATGTGTTCCAGAGCCTTGCTGGTCGTTGACAAATTAGCCAATGATGGAATTGATAAATTCCCGATTTCAATTGGATATAACATCGAATATCAACTTGACCAACTAGATATATATTTTATAGCTTTTATAAAACCATCATCAGGTTTTACTAAATAAAATGAGGGACATTCTTGTATGAGGGCTGAAAACGAGGTCAATGGCATCCTATGCGTGAACCACTCGAAATGAAAAATCGATTCCGCACGCCACTGAAATCGCGATTTTTCCTGACGTTGCAATAAACTTGTGCGGAACGGCGTCGGGAAATAAAGCACAAGCAAACCGTCTGACGTTGCATTTTGTGCAACTAGTGTTTATTTGTTACCCCTTCCGTCTTCCGCCCTGCTTTTCCTCTGTTCTATCGACAATCTCGGCACCGATACTTTCTTTATTTTCATTTCATTCTTGAAGTCACGGTCGGTGTCACGGTGTACAGAGAACTTACTAACTTAGAACTTCCCAGCGAGCACAAACATCCCTGGGATGTTTTGGGATGTTTTGAAAATGTTGGCATGAAGATGTTATTTTGAGACGTAATATGCACTGACCAAAGAGGTCTTTGAAGGATATTGAAGTATTGTTTTTTTTTTCTTCTGTGGCATTTCTTTGTTTGCCTACTGAGAGGTATCCCTGGGATGTTTTGGGATGTTTTAGAAATGTAGGCATGAGGATGTTTTTTTGAGGCGTAATATACACTTCCCAAAGAGGTCTTAGAAGGATATTGAAAGTATTGTTTTTGTTCTTTTGTGCCCTTTCTTTGTTTGCCCCACCACAACGTCTCATGCTTACGTCACAATACGATGAATTCTGATTTGTTTTCGATTTTGTTCTTCTTGATCGCAATTGGCATTCGCGTTTGCAGCGTGTCACGCTTACATCACGCTGCTAACGAACAGAAAGGAATTTGGTGAAGTTTATTGTGTTAGAAGACTTATTTAGTTTGTAATAATAACCATCAGATGCAAGATGTGTTGTTCGGTGCCTCAGTGTAATCAATATATAAAAGTACGAATTTATCAATACACAGCTTCTCCGCAGTTGCAAAATTATGCATTGTGGAGAACATTTCAAAAATTGGGAAACCTATTTCCAATTATATGTCTGTGTGTAGTAAGCAGAAACCGATTGAGAAGGTAATTTCATATCAAGAAAATATTTTTATGTTCAATCTATTTTTAATGCATTTTTTCATTCAAGGGAAATGGAATCCTAATGCAAAAGTTCATTTTGACAAAAGGCTTCAGAAAAGTACCTCGAAAATGTTTTTTTACAGCGATTTAATGTGCGCAAGACGCGTTGAAAATGTTTTGTTGTGTCCATGAAAAGGCTTTAAAAAGAACTAGGAAGAAGGTAGTGTTGTGACATATCAAGGACATCTCGATAATTGCCGCCTGCGGCGGACATTCGCTGTTCTGTAATAGTTCTATTCATGTGTGAACAGAACATCGCAGTGGAGGTTCAATGTCTCGGAATCTCGTACTTTTAACATCTCTGAGATGTTTTTGTGCTCGCTGGGATTTGTTTTTGTTTGGGTGTATGATATATATGTTTCTTCTTCATATCAATGCTTTATCTACAGTTTCGCAGAAGATAGTACTATCCATACTGCATTCTCTCCCAGAATTCCCATTTCCTTTCAGAAAACTATAAGAACTTGCGATGTAGGCAGGTCAACACTGTCAATGGAGATCTTGCCGAACTACAGCCTGGAGGACCAAACATCTGGTTGAAATAAAGGCCACCAAAACTCAAGCCTGTATTTTCTCTAGAAAGGCGGAGCTTAGTAAATATGCCTGATATATCAATGTCAATTAGCTCCGTCGATGTGTACACGGCATTAAGGAACATCCTGTATATAATATTGAGACAGTATACTTATGTTTCTTCTTGATGAAATGATTGAATTTTTGACATAACTTCGCATTTTTCTTCAAATCATAATTTCAAGATTTATTAGGGCCATATATTTTCGACTTTTCCAATGGTAAGACATCGTCTGTTTTGCCGTCACTGGTCATATTCCT